TGTTTCGATATTTTGCTGAATTTCTTTTTTTCCTTGTTGACCATTAATTGATTGAATGTTGAGTTTCAAGTGAATTTGTCATGATATGTTGTTGATGGAATGATAAAAGCTGGTCAACAAGAAGGAAACAGATTTGAATGGTTAGATTAAAGGTTAGACCTGATCTTGTGAACAACAAATGAACCAATTAAGATGGTCAGTTGAATGATAAGGAAAGAAGAAAAAGTTTATCAATAATTGACCAAATTTGGACAATTTTTCTTCTCATCTAATCTAATCATGTGATCACATCTTGAATATCAGTATTTTTCCATGCTAATCAATGCACTCCTAATCAACCTAATTATCATCATTTTCTTTCGGCTGTCAGATCAAATGTTTCATTCACCAAATGAAACGAGAAGAAACAGCAAAAGAAGAAGAAGAAGAAAAAGAATGGACAAAACAAAAAGGTAAAGGTAAAAACAAAATCAGTGATCAGATAAGGATGAGAAGAGAGAAGAAGAAGAAAAAAAATTGTCAATAATATCGATAATAATATTGAGCACAGTTGAGATTAACTTAATTGTTGTACTGCAAATGAGTCTCGTTGCAAGCGACAACAAAAGTCCAACAAGTTGGCCAAGTTAAAGGATAGCTTTAAAGTTAAAAGATAAATGATAAAAATCTGAGGGTCACTTTGATCCCGACAAGGACATTGTTTGTCACCTTACCGTCCATACCTTTTGTTTTGACATTGAAACATTTTGTTTACGTTCCATTGAAAGAAAGAGAAACATTGTTTAACCCTTACAACTGACCAATGCGTAAAAATGGATAATCCTTCCTTCTCCATCTCTCTCTCTACTTGTGTCCAACTTTTGCCCATCAAATTGAGTCTCTATTACACTTACTTAGTCTACTCTTTTGCGACCAAAATTTAATTCTCTTGACCATCTTTGGCCATCTTCATCTTGTACCACTTTTTGTTGTCTTCATTCAAATGCACAGTTGATCCTTCAATCTCACCCAATCTCAATGGATTTAAAAAAAAGTGGGTAAAAATGTCTATGACAGTCAACTTCCTGTGAACATTTTGTCGCCCAAAACTTTTATTTCAAGTTTGTTCAAGCTGAAAATTGGGTAAAGCTTTTCAAGCCCAAATTCAGCGTCACTTTTGTCGTGTCTATTTCAACCGTTTTGTGTGTGTGTGTAAGTTGCTTATTTACCTTGATGAGTTGAAAGAGGCTGCCCAACCAGTAGAGAGCAAAGTCAAAGGACAATAATGAAGCTTCACTACTGTCACCTTGTTCACAGGAACCTGCAGTGGGTCACCACTTACAATATCATTTAATACGAAATGGCGCCATTAGAATGAGAAGGAAGAACCGAGAGATTCTGGAGGAAGAAAAATGATGAACAAGAGAGAGAAAAGAAGAGAAGAAGCAAAGGAGAAACAATAATGTAAAAAAGCTCATCATTTGAATACATTTATATTAAATGTGCATTGAGAAAGTGCTTTCACCGTGAATAACTTGGAAAAAGAGAGGAAAAAAAGATGAAGATAAAGATGAGAAAAAGCATTTTGCACTAAGATGAAAAGATGATAAAGAGAGGAAGGGAACAAGAAAAGGAGCAAAAAGTTACCAGAAGAAAAAAGGATGATGAGAGATCATTTTTTTGTCTTGCTGACTCTTTTTACCATTTCATCAACTGATAACTTTGAAAAGGCCAACAACAAGTAAAGATACAGCAAGATCTCGCCAAATGTATCGATTAATGTCTTTCATCTTCTAATCATCATAATATTTTCATCTCTTAATCGATTCAACTTGTTCATCGCCATTTCAAAGGAACCATTGACAAGATCAAATTTCGTCTCAACACTTGGAATAAAGAAGAGCAAGAAAAAAGGTCAAATCGATTCACCTTTAACAACCTGAAAAAAAGGAAAAGTAAAGAGAGAAACAAAAAAAAGTGAAAAAGAAAATCGAAAAAAAAACAAAAAAAGTTAAACATGATAACAGGGAATCGAAATTTACATGAATTTCTTTTTGACAATCGACTTGAAATTATAGGTTTGCTTTGATGAGAGACGATCATTGTCATCATTTGCTTTTGTTTTCCTCTTTTTTTTCTTTCTCTCAACAATTCTCTCGACTTTTTCCTCTCATCCATTTCATTCCCTGTTATTGTTGTTACTCTTGTTCATCCATTCATCTGAAGAGAAGGAAGAAAAAAAAGAGATTCAAACCTGAATAAGTTGGACATTTTGCCTCTCGAAAGAAGAGAAGAGAAAAAATTTTTACACGTTTTTTCAAAATGATAACTTCTTCATTCTCCTCATCAACAACAACAAAAGCATCTTCATCTTGCATACACAATGCATTCTTCCTCATCCAATGCCTTTTGTTTTCCTTTGATATTTTACTCTTTTTTTTGTTTCTTTTCCTCAACATTTTTTTCTCATCTTTTTTTTTCTCTCTTCCTCCTACAATCTTCCAAGCAAAATGTTTCACCATTAAAATTTTCAATTGTTCAACTAATTCAGCTTCTTTTTCCTGTTGAAACAATCTTTTCCCATTTTCTAGACTCTGTTATTCAAGAGATTCGCCTTTTTTCAGCCCATTGTTGGCACATTTTTGTAAAGCAATTTGCTTACAGTTACAAGCGTAAAAAAGAGCGAGAGAAAAAAAATAATCAAAAAATGTGAATACAACAGAATCCATTTGCATGGTTATTATTCAGCCTTTTTTTGTCTACAGATTTTTTTGTGCCCTTCTTTAAACACATTTTCAACTCGAATCTGATTAACGCACAAAAGGCCAACACAATTATGAGCTGATTATTAAGAGGAAAAGATTCATGAAAATCAACTTGAAATTGCAATGGAATGATTAATTTTTGAGAGAGAAAAAAATTCTCAGGGTTGAACCCTTTATGATGAAAAGATGGAAATGGTTGTAATCATTTTACGTTCAACTGTCAGGATAATATTTCATTTAATCCATCAACAAACAATAACAATCTTCATTATCATCTTTTCCTTTTCCTTTTTCTTCTTTCTCTTCCTTTTCATCTTCTTTCATCGAGTTTATTGTAAATGGATTATCAAAATGTTGAACAATCAAGATGATTACAGTTTATGATAACAACTGATGAACTTTAACATGAGCCTAAAGGGTCAAGGGGAAAAAGGTGAAAATGGTAATAAATGAATTGAACACAAATGAACCTCAAGACATGATCAAGTGTTCAACTGCAATTCCGTAAGGATTAAAGTCGAGGAAAAGTTTTATCAATATTCACCTCTTTTTCATCTCTTGCGGTTCATGCCTTTGACATTGGGAAACATTGACATTTCATGTTTGCCCGTTTTCACACTTTTCTGGACATTACCATTGAATCGAAAGGTTTTCATCAACATTATCATTTACCATTTACTTTTTGGTGATTCCCTTAAGAATCGTGAAAACCAAACCAAATGTTTCTCTTTTTGTCTCCTTTTGTCTTTCAACATGGAAAGATACAGAATGGAAAAGAAGATGAAAAATTGGGATTATTTTCTTGCTGTTCATCCTCATTCTCATCATCATGTTGACAGTCAATTCTCTTTCTCTCTTTTCCTCCCTGTGACATGTTCACGCCAAGTACTTTTACATCTAAACAGTGAAAAGTGAGCCAAAAATGTAATTCACTCCTTGATTGTTGACAAGCTCAGTGGGAATTGATGTTAAGATGAATATCATCATTGTCTTTTAATGACATCTTTAAATAATATTATTCCCTCATCAGTTTATTACATCCTAAAATTATGTTTTACATTGAAAAAGATTATCTTGATAACAACTCCCAGTTATTCAATTTTAACAGTTTCAACATTTTCCTCGACTTTCACCGAAAATTTTTGCAAACTTTTGGAAAATCGTTTTTTCGAAAAAATGAAATTTCAAAATTTAACCAAAAAATTTCTTGAGTTTACTGAAAATGTTTAAGAATTAGATAAAAGTTGAAATAGTTCATTAGACTGTTAGAGTTGGGAAAAGCACATTTTTTTTGCAAACTCAACCTTTTCTTTTCGAATCAAGTTTGTCATGAAAGAATGAAATGAAAATCTTTTCATCGCTTTTTATCATTTCATCATTTGGAATCAATTCACTTCTTTCATGATAACCATCATTTTGCATTGAAATTTTTCAGTTAAATTTCAAGGTTTACATTTTGTTGACATTTCAATTTAAGAAGAAAATGAAATGAAATTTTTGTTGAAATTGTCGAATGATAATGAGAAAAAAGTGATGGAAAAAAAGTTCTCATGAAATATCAACAATTCTCTTGAAAAGAATAGTTTCATCATGTTATAGGTTTTTTTAGTTCATCATTAGTTTTACTATTATCTTCATCTTTACCTCATCATGGAGTTACTCCTTTCATCTGATAACAACAACAGAATGTAATAACAACTTGTTTGACTCTTTCAATGTTCAGCTAATCATCACCATCATCATGATTCCCTTCCCTTTTCATGAAAACGTTTCTTCCATTGTTTTCATTTCCAACTCTATAAGTGGCAAAAAAACATGAATAATACAAGAATTAAATGGAAATAATTTTCAGTCAAAAAAATGTATTAAACTCTTTTCCTTTTTTCACCGGCAAATTCAATAATCTAAATAATTGACTAACTCAATTTGAAAGCAACTCGCAATTAAATTATCATTAATTTCAAGTTTCAATTTAAATTGATTTACAAAAAAAACGAAACTGAAAACTCGATATTCAACTCTAATCAATGTTGCCAATTTTGGCCAAATGAAGAGTCAACTGTGGCCAGGTAAAAGCGTTCAACCCAAAAAAACAGCATTTGACTCTTTCATTGAACCAAAATTGAGTCGAGTCCACACCTTAAGGTGGACCTTAAGGTAACTCAAGGAAACACAAAAATCGTTACTCTTATGGTTAACACACAATGTAATGTGTAAAATATTTTTAACGTTCAATCTTGTTTTGCATCTTTTCAGATTCAACTTAAGTCAAAGTTCAACAATTTTTGGATACCAAGTTTATGTGCAAAGGATTATCGAGTTTTTGGGCCAATTTTGCTTCTCCAACAACTGTGATTCAAAGCCTATTAAAGTCATCAAGAAACCTCGTAACAGTTGTTGACTGTTGGGTCAAAGTGTTTTGACCAAAGTTTTATCAAATTAAAATTTACCTTCAAATGAAAATTGGATTAAGTTGAAAACTAGAAAAAATAGTTTTTTTCCATTTTCTCTCGTCGTTCGTGTTCAAATTTTAAACCTCTTGTGTTGTCTCTTCAAGTGTATGCGTTTACCAACGCATGCCAACACATTTAATCAACTGACAATAGTTCGAGAATGCCTCATAAGGGTTAGTATTCATCTGTTATCATGTAATCATGAAAATCGTGGAGAGGAAAAAAACAAATGTGTGGCTCCATGGTGGCCTTCAATCAAAAAGGTCTTCTCAAGGGAAGCAAAGGCCAACCTTGTTTACTGATTTACAAATGCGCTCTTTCAATATGTTGGCCATTTTCAAGTGTCAAGATGAAAATGATAACTTGCCTTTAGATTTAATCTGAGCATGTTTGGTGATGGAAGAAAAGAAGAAGAAGAAGAAGCCATGAAATTTGCTTTTCCAACGGGAATTAGAGATAAACTGTTAAACCTTTTTCCACCTTCATCTCTCGATGGGATACGAAGTGATGGACTAAGGTTTCATTCATGACTCTGGTTTACCTTTATTTACATCTTCATCTTTACTTTCATCTTTTTTCATGCTCTTCTTTTCCTCTCCTGATTTAAACAGTTTACTCGAGAAAATCGAGATTTTACCATTTGCTTTTGCTCCGTTTGCTAATTTTGACCTTTTTTTACGCCTACTTTAGAATCCTCGGAGTTCATGTTTCATGGTTTAATGACAGCTATGCATAAAGGTGGGAATTTTGATTTTTACCATTTTTTGTACTTTTCTTTTTTTATGAAACAAACAAAGTTAATGAATTTTGGAAAATAAATTTTTCTATTTCTTAGGTCACTCAGGAGTCAATCAATTGGGTGGTGTTTATGTAAACGGCCGACCTTTACCCGACACGACCCGTCAAAAGATAGTTGAATTAGCGCATCAAGGAGCCCGCCCATGTGACATATCTCGAGTTCTTCAAGTATCAAATGGCTGTGTTTCCAAAATATTGGGTCGATATTATGAGACGGGTTCAATTCGACCGAAAGCCATTGGCGGTTCCAAGCCTCGAGTGGCAACACCAGATGTAGTTGGTAAAATAGCCCGGTTCAAGAGTGATTGTCCATCAATATTTGCCTGGGAGATTCGAGATAGATTATTGAACGAAGGAATTTGCACCAATGATAATGTTCCAAGTGTGAGTAGACCACAGATTGTGGACCGGCCTAAGAGAGCAAAAACAAAAAACATCAATGAGAGAATGCTGTTGAAAGCAGGAAAATTAGAGTTGATTCATTTACTTTTGATTAGCAAAGTTTGACCGTTAATCAACTTGTCATTTGTAAATAAATGTCTAAACTGATTTTAACCCGGGAAACAAATGGAAGGGAAAATGAGAGGAGAAACGAAAGAAGAAGGAAAAAGAAGGGAAAAGAAGGGAAAAAATGACAAAAGCAAAGCTCGTTATCATTTTACATCCTTTAAACCTTGCTCAGTCCACTCCCTGTTAATCAGAATTCCCAGCGTATTTTGTCAAATTAGCTGATTGTTCATCAATGTTCACCTCTTTTTAAATGCAATTTGCACTTGATTTGCCTTTCTTCTTCTTTCAACATTATTTACTTAACTGTCAAAGAACAACAATTTTCATGATTAACATTCATTATTGGCTTATTATTAGCATCTATATTGTCACCCATTATTATGTTTATCAGCATTGGGTGGACATTTGTTTTATCCTCTTTGGAATGGACACGGAATGGGAAATGCCTTTTTAAACAGAAAACATTCTTTTCAACTCTTTCTCTTTTCATGAAAGCCTTTTTCTTCTCCTTGAGTTTGTTTGCATTGTAAAGAGCTTGTTCACAACAGTTTCACATTTTGATTGAACCGTGAAATTAGCTTCAAATTTGGTTCAATGATGAGAGAATGAGCAAGAGAGAAAATCTGATTTTCCAGAGAAAAAAACTCAATATTCAGTCTTTTTCCTTCTTCATTGAGAAAATCATTTTTTCCTCTCTTCCATCAGTCTGGATAAAAGTAAATAACTGAGACTAACCATGATAATGAACATTTACTTGGATTATTCAATTTTTATTTGTTGATGAGGCAAACAATTGTTTATTTGTTCAGCAAACATTTCCTCCTGCAAATGCTGACATTGAGATTTCAACAAATTGTCCATTCTTTAATGTTGGTAGAAAAGTTGAAAAATTTCAATTTTCTCGCCATTCTTTCCTCGAATCGAGTTTAAATCGAAAACTTTTTTTCTTTAAAATTTCAATTTTTGTCAAAAATCGAAAAATCTTTTCTCTTAATTACTTTTTCTTTGCCTTTTCAAATCTGATTAAAGATCAACTTTGACTTTATTGTTGAGACAAATTTGAAAAGTTGAATCAAAATTTTGTTTAACCTTTCAAAATCCATTCAATCTTTTAGTTTCTTTTGCCTTTAAAAAGAAGAAGATAATCAGGATGAAAAGAGATGACAAGTATAGGAGTATTTTACGGTAAAAAAAGGTATAATTCTTCATCCTTCTTCTTCCATCCAAAACATGATCCTCTTAATTCCAAAGCAAAGGATAGGATTCTGGTTCTGAATCTTGATTCAAACCTAAATTGGCTATTTATTTCTTACATGAACAAGAAGACAATGAAGAAGAAGAAGAAAAGGTTGAGAAGAAACTCAATTCTGAATGATGCTCTTGTTTCCGTTTCTGATCCACAACCATTTAAGACCCATAAACCATCAAGAATTCATCTTAACCAGCCAAGAAAAAAGAATGAAGAAGAAAGAAGATGAAAATGATGAAGAAAAAAAAACTGATTACTGTCATTGGCAATATGTTAAAGTGATCGCTTTCAATCTCTCTCTTCTTGTGACTCTACTGATCGTGAACGTGCCCTTTCCTCCTCCCTTTACTCCTTCATCATTCTTATCATTCTCATTCTCATCATCTTTTCCTCTTCCATCTTCTTCCTTCCTCCTTCAATGTTAACTTTCGTCTTTTTAGCTTCTCTCTCATTCAGGATTGAAAACAGAAGCTAACACAACTGAAACTCAAATGACCTTAAATATGGTTGATTAACCATCAAAAATGGTGATCATGATAATGATAATGATTATCCTCAATCTCTACTCTTTCTTTCTCTCTCTTCTTGTGATTACACTGATCGTGAACGTGCCCTTTCCTCCCCCTTTACTCCTTCATCATTCTTATCATCTTTCCTCTTCCATCTTCTTCCTTCCTCCTTCAATGTTAACCTTCGTCTTTTTAGCTTTTCTCTCATTCCCTTCTCATTGAGAACTGAAAACAGAAGCTAAACAACTGAAACTAAAATGACCTTAAATATAGCTGATTAACCATCACAAAATGGTGATCATGATAATGATAATGATTATCCTTAATGATTATCGATAAAAATCGTTTCCAATTTTGTCGAAAGTCAGAAAGAAAAGATGAAAATAACTCGAAGATAATGATTGTTTTTACCTTTTTTTGTTTGGGTTCGGAATTTTCATTCAATATTTTGATCAACTTGGAATTTTTGTTTTTTTCAGGTTTCATCGATAAATCGTGTTTTGCGCAATTTGGCTGCTCAAAAGGAGCAACAAGCTCATAGCCAGGCTACAAATGAAGTTTACGATAAGTTACGAATGCTTAATGGTCAAGGCTGGCATGCAAGGGCTGCTCCTCCTTGGTATCCTGGTGCTGCAGCAGCAGCAGCCGCCTTTGGTAACATTGGACCACCTTGTGTACCCTCAGTGCCAACAGCACCTTCATCAATACCACCTGAAAATGGTTCATCTCAAGCATCTCAAGATAAAAAAGGTAAATTTTCTCAACTTTTTCGCTCTTAAAAAATTCCTTTTTTGACACTTTTCAAATGTTATCATTAACAAGCGGCCCTCCGATCATGAATTATCACAATTTTCTTTACACTGAATACAATAAACTCCCTGCACACTTAGTGCTCAAAATCTTGATGAAAAACCATCGTCAATGAGAAAGACTAAAAAATCAAATGAAATCTGGTTCCACAGCTAGACAAAATGAAACCTTAGTTTGAACTTAGAAAGTGATTTTATCAAAAACCTTCGATCAGAGAAATCTTTGGATTGACCGAATGCTGCTAGTTTTTATGTCCCTAAAATTGATCAGGTAGCAACTCGAAAGTCAAAGTTTTGGCGCATATAAATCATCCAACAATTAACTAAAGCGTCATTAAGTTAATTTGCTTCCTTCCACAATGCTTTTGATTACGAATTGTTTTTTCCACCCATCCTGAACATGATTTTCTCAAGAACCTTACAATCTTTCCAACCAAATTCTTACAATTCTTTGATAGCTCCTAGAAAGCTCAAGTATTTTTTGTTGCTGTAGTCGAATCATGGTCATCATTTGGTCGCAAAACTTTTTTTAAAAACCCTTTCCGTTGCCAACCGTTTGACGCAAAAATGACAGATCATCACTGAAGTTTTTTCACTGAGTAGATTACAATCAATCGACATCAAAAAGCACAAATTCTTAATAAAAAACCATTGTCAGATGTAAGTTGAAATCTTTAGCTTTTGCCACATTAATGATATTCACTTGGGATGAAAAAGCTATTCTTTGAGCAGTCGTAAGAAAAATTCATACGATTTGAGAGTTGAAAATTTGTGTAAGCATGGAACTGGTTCAACTCGTTTAACCAAAAAGTTTCTCTGATGAACAATCAATACAAAATTGAGTTCAAAGTTTAAACCTCGGTCTCTTATGTACAGTTGAGGAACCAGATTTTCACTCGGAAGATAGTTTTTCTGTAAAACCTTGATTAATGCATAAAAACGTGGGTTGAGCTTCCAGGAAAAGTCAGTAAGATGGCGTTGTCTTTACACTGAAAATTAGACTAATAATGACTAATTAACAGTAGATGAAGATTTTTTGCATTAACTAAGGTTTAACAGTTTCCTTACCCAACAATCAATCTGAAAACAAAAAAAGTTCCCCCAAAGTCAATAGTAACAGATACGGATTCCGCATTTTTCCTTCATCCTGGTTAAACGTGAATTTCTCAGTAACCTGAATTCTGATTAAGCTCTGACTATTTTTCGTAATTGTAGTTCAATCATGGTTTTCATCCTGTGTAAAAATTTTCTTTAGAACCCGTTTATTTATGAGATTTAGTCACAAATTCATAGTTTGACTATACTTATTGTATTTATAGTAATGGCAAAAAGACTCTTCTTTTCTTTCTCCAGATAATTCCCTGTACGATCTGGATGGACACTCTATTGACCCTGAAAGTGGTACAGATGATTCATCTCATCCAGAAGGAAGTGAAGATACGGAAGCAAGATTACGCCTTAAACGTAAACTCCAAAGAAATCGAACTTCTTTTACACCAGAACAGATTGAAGCACTGGAAAAAGGTAATCCTCATGAGAAGATAAAGGTTGACGGAAAAAGTCAATTGAATAACAATTTAATCTCTTCAATTCATTTTGCAACAAGAACAAAAGTTTAGAGTAAAAAAAAGAGAAAGAAAACTCATCTTGTCATCTTTTTCTCCTTTTCATTCTATTCTCAATTCTATCCAGGAAAATCCGAAAATTCAATTGAAGGTCATTATCTATTAAGCTATTTCATATCAACATTTCTATTGATGTAATGTAATAAGCGCTCTTACAATGGAGCAACATTGCATGTGAAGAAGAAGAAGATGAAAAAGATGAGAAATGACTCTTTCATATTCACCATTCAACATGGTGCCACTGCATATTATCCGATAATAACTATAATAAAATAATCTTCTTGATAGCTTGATGATAATAATGAAATGTAGAGCAAAGCAGAAAGAAGCAAAAAAAAGTTAGACAAAGTATTCAATTCCAGTCTATTGTTTGTATCAATAAAAGGTTGGAAGAAAAGCTCGAGTAAGAAAAAAAAATATTAAACTAATAACATAATGCTATAAAAGTTGATGATATTGTAATATAGCATTTTAAATATGTCATTGCCTTTGCCACTTGGTGACTAATGTTGCCTTAAAATGGTCAGTCAGCACAACCGTAAAAGGTAATAACAGGAGAGGGAAAAGAAGGAAAAGAAAACTTGAAGAAAAAAAAGACTTTTTCCATGTAAACATGAAACTCTTTGCCCAACAATAGGCAATGGATATTAAATGATATTCAAGTTTTGTTGAACAGAGACTATTGAGTAAACTGGTTGAAAAGGAGAAAGTGAATGAAAAGTGTTTTCCTCAATTGTACTATTTTAAGTCGACCAAGTATAAAGAGGATAATGACAAGGTAAAGTCAAGGTAGAGAGACTTGTGTAAATTGTTGAACGTTAAGTGGTTCAATAACAATAAGTGATCATTTGCTTTAAAGATTAACACTTGTAAAGGTTTTCAGACTTGCAGACGAATCTATCGTTGCTTCATTTTTTCGACATTTTTTTCTTCTTCTTCTTCTCTCTTTACCTTTGAACCTTTCAAGCTAGTTTCAGATCGCCATTTTCATGTTTACACTTTTTCTTTGCCGTTTTATATCCATTATTGCTTTCTTGGGTTTGTTGTCGATTCGGATAACAATATTTGATAACAATAACTCCCTGCTGGGAAGAATCAGTTACTGTTATCAATACCTATACTTGAATGAGATAAGAAGGCGTTGCTTATTATCGCAAAAAATGTTTACTCTTATAGGGTGAAGTCACGTGTCTGCATTGTAAACATTTTCAGTTCAATATTGAACATTCATGGAAATTGATTCGTTTCAATATTTGCTCAATTTTCCAATTTTTTCCCATTTTTTGTTTTTCCAAATTCTTTTTGCGACATTTTGATTGAAATTTTCAGTTTTCTTCCGTCTCTTTATTTCGTTCTTGTTGTTCGTCATTACCTTTCCGTTTGATTGTTTTAATTAACCTTTGCTCTTCTTTTTTTTTCTTGTTCGCCTTTCAACAGAATTTGAAAAAACACATTATCCTGATATATTTTCCAGAGAACGACTTGCCAGTAGAATAGATTTACCGGAAGCTCGAATACAGGTAAGAACTTCATTATCAATTCTCTTTCCATTGTACTTATCATTATTAGTGCTCAGTTATTAGTTACACACCTTTCCTGAATCAACCTTAACCATCATTCAATATCATCCAATTAGCCTTTCATCAATTCAAAAGCCAATCCCATTCAAACCGTCAAAATAACGGTCGATAGCGAAAGGTTTATTTCAATCATTTTGAAAATTTCATGCTGTTCCAAGTTGAAGAGACAGAAATCTCAGAATCAAATCAAAAAATTTAATCGTTTCCAAAGAGCTAATTAAAAGGTAAAATTTTTACACAACTCAAAAATTTGATTAGTCTTAATAGAGATCGAAAACCGTTTATGCCTTTTCATCACCTTAACCCAAAGTTCACGTTAGAATCGAGAAATAGATCGATAAGAATTTTGAGCAAAAAATTTGATAGAATATTTGAAGAAATGGATTTAAAGACTCTTAGAGTCTGAAAAGTCGAGCTTAAGATTTTTTCTAGTCGAATATTAGGTCCACGAGTTTGATAAATTTTGACATTTTTTGCTTTTACCTTGAATCGATTTGATTAGTGAGATGTAGTCATCGATTTTATGTTAATAATTGATTGGTTTTCTGTCAGTTGAATGATGATTATTGATTGTCGAAAGGAAAGCATGCTTTTTTGTTCTCACTGTTCTAAAAATAGTCCTAAATGAGTTCGAAAATGTTTCCAAAACATAAACACTGAAAATGTTAACTTAAATAAAAAAATTGCTGAGAATCACTTAACCTGATTATACAGGCCTACGATCATATTATGCAGGTTTGGTTCTCAAATAGGCGAGCAAAATACCGTCGTGAGCAGAAACTGCGAGACCAACGAAAATCAAGCGATCAAACTACGGTACTGACCAATCCATCACCAACAACAACCTCATCACCCGTTTCTGCAGCAGCAGCGGCAGCGGCAGCAGCAACAGTTCCACCACGAATACCAATCAACCCTGGTTTTCCAAATGGCTTTTACCCATCAATACCTCACCCATCAATATCTCATCCATCAATACCTCACTCAATGGTATCCGATACTTACAGGTAAGTCAATCTTTAACCTGTTAACCTTTGAAAAAAGAAAAAAGAAAAAGAATTTTTTAAAAATTTTTATCCAACATTGAAATTAAATCTTTTTCGTTCTCTCTCGTTAATCCAACAGCTCGATAACATCAATGCCCAGTTACTCAATGGCATCCAATATGGCACAAAACTCTTGCCTTCAACAGCAAGCCACGGTTTCCAACTATTCTTGCATGTTGCCTCCACCGCCTGGAAGTGTCCGCTCTTATGATCCTCTTGGTAGTCTTGGAAGTTACTCACGACCCTCAACTTGTGGTGCGAGCGATGTGCAATACTCTGACCTTTACTGAATTACCAATTGCGAAGCGAAACTCTTTTTTTCCCCAAGTCCAAACCTATTTACATATGGAAAGACACGAGAAGATTAAATGTTGTCATTTTTAACTCGCTTTTTCTCTTTCATTTTTTTCTCCTTTTTTTCGTCATTTTTTTTGTCAAAACTCATCCAAATCTGATCTTGTAAACAATTTGAAAATTGAAATATAAAAAAAAATCTGTCAACAAAAAATATTCTTCTCTTGATTTCTCAGTGTTATGAAAAGTTTTGAAAGAGTCTCAAAAAAAATAATGAATAAACAGAAAATGATTCAACAGCAAACTCAATCTAAAACTGCTTTTTATTTGAACAAACCTTTTTTCATTTCTCTTTGCTTTCATTTAATCATGTTATTTTGAAACTTTTCATTGTGCAAACAAAGTCAACCAATTCAACTGTTGACTGTTGAGCTAATTATGAATATGATAACCATCATAATGATATATTTATATGAAGCAGAAGAAGCGAAAAAAAGGAGAAGTTTCATCTTCCTTTATGTTGTGTGTTCATCAGAATTCAAATATTATCATTTTACTTCATACATTGTACATAAAGCCAAATGTACATAATAAAGTAACAAGAGAAAGAGTAAAGGTGAATGAAGGGAAAACGAGAAGCGTAACAATAACAGGTAAATAGAGTTATTAACTTGAATTGAGGAGTGTTGATGTTGACCGAATCTCGTGTTTAGTGTCAACATTTTTCATGGCTATTTAAGGGATAAAAAGCTCTTGCAAGAGACATTCTTTTCTTGACTCTTGGACTTTTCTCGATTGTTTTGTGTGCAAGAGTAAAGTACGCTTGATATGCTTTTCTCGCCCTTTTATCTTTAACCATCAAACTGTTGGCGACCACAAGAAGCATATATTGTAACGGATTAAAAATGGTTAAAAAACAAGTTGCAAAGTTGACCAAAAACTTGGATCAATAAAAATGTATTAAAAGGTAAAATAAAAAAAAGCGATGAAAAGCAATGAATGCGTCTGTTGAAAATGGCTAAGGAGAGTAAAAAAAAGAGCGAACGGGCCAAAGAAGAAAAAGGAAGGAAGAGAAAAATGGAAAAAGAGAAGAGAAGAAAAGAGCGAAATAAAAGATTCGTAATATGCGATAAAACTGCGCCTTGTTGTCCTGCGATTACAACGGTTTTTCGGTTCTATGAACATGAACATGATCGTTCATGTGCATGTAATATTCAACTGTCTCTTTATCTTCTCACTCTATTCATTGTACCACTAAGGGTAGAGACTAAGTGTGTGTCTTTACCCTCTTTTAGCAAAGGGTTTGTTCATCTTGTTTCACTTATGTTGCATGTTGAAGCCATATTGGCACGGAATGTGCCGACTCCTCTCTTTGGATAAAAGGAGAGGCCAAAAAGGAAAAGAGAAGAGAAAAAAAAGTTTACTCAAAAAATAGAGAGAAACTTTTCTCCCACTTTTCTCTCTCTCTCTCAGGTATCAACAAAGGTTGAAGGAGGATTGATGGTGACAATGGTTAAGTAAAAATGGTGAATGATAAAGTTAACGATAAATGTTGTTGCGGTCAAGGATCATTTGTGTTGGCGAGGCTTTACCTTGGGTTGAGCTTGCTTCTGCTTTTTGCTTTCATTGCGTGATTGCTTTTAATGTAGAGGCTGGAAGAAGAGTGACAACAAAATACAAACTTGATCATCATCAAGATTAATATTGGTGATGATCGTTTTACACTATTATATCAAGACCTCATTTCTTTACCTTTTTTCTTCTTCTTCTCTTCACTTACAGATATTTTTCACCTTCATCGATTACATTGTATTTTGTTTGCACAAAAGAAAGTGTTTCTTAAGACGGATATCACCTTTATCTTTCACCATCATCATCATCATTTCATCTTCTTTTTTCGCTTCTTTTCTTCTTCTTCTTTCCACCTTTGTCTTCTGGGTTTTCATTTTGTTATTACTTCTTCTTCTTCTTTTTCCTTGTAAAAATGTCTTCATTTGCTATTGAATAAATTGTTGTTTCCATTCAACGTTTTTGCGGGTTTTCAACTTTTGGAAATTTGCTCTTTTTCGTTCCGTTTTCGCTCAGTTTTCGCCTTCTTTTCTTCAGATCATTTTTACATCATTTTCTTGTCCATTGATATTCTACAAGTTGATAACAATTGAATTTCTCCTTTATTCTTCTTCTTCTCCAAAAATGTTCAATTAACTTATTCATTTTACACTTTCGTGTATTCAAACGGTAATCATTTCATTAGCATTAAACATTGTCATTGTTAAAAATGATGATTCTATCGACTTCTTTGTAACTTACTGATTTTTACCTTCAACAATGAGCATAACTTGGTTTGTAACCTTGTATTGCTTTACAAAGTCAAAGAAAAAAAACATCATTTTTCACCTTTATTTTTCTCGAAAAAATAGAAAAATTTCTTTTCTCTTTTCTTTTCTTTTCGTCACTTTTTCTTTCGCCTTGTTGTCCAGACCAAACAAAATGACCATAATTGTGACTGATGTTTCCTTAATTTTTCAACACTTGTAAAAATAGGTTGCAACTTGAATTAGTTTCATTGTATCACAACACAAATGAACCCAAAAAGTGACCTTTTATGTGCAAGAGAAATAACAAAATGATAATTTTCCAGCGAAAAACAATTTAACTCGAATTTTGTTGAAAAGAATCAAAAACAACAAATGAAAGTAAAGATTGAACCAAAAGACTGGAGCTTCCACCAAGAGTCAACCTAAACAGTGACTTTCACTGCACAAGAAAACAATCAATGTTCACCTCTTCACGAACAAACATTTATCATCATAAATCCAGTTTGATCAAATTGAGTTAAAAAGAAATGAATATTTCTCATCGAAAATGCAAACGTCAGTGTGAATGGTCAATGAAAATGATTATAAAAGTCGACCGGCAACTTAACTCGAAGTTTGTTGGAAAGAATCAATAACAAGAAATGAATGTAAAGATTGGATCAAAAGACTTGGGCTTCCATCAAGAGTCAACCTAAACATTGACTTTCACTGCACAAGAAAACAGTAAATGCTTGCCTCTTCGCGAACAAACATTTTGCTTCGACTTTTTATTACAAATGTAGTTTGATCAAATTGAGTTGAAAAGAAATGAATATTTCTCATAAAAATGCAAAGGTCAGTGTGAATGGTCAATGAAAATGGTCATCAAAAGTCGGCCGACAATGTCAAAAATTAACAATAATTGATAGTAATGATGGCAACAATGTGATATTTAACCTACAATTTGCTTCTCCAGTTATACACAAAAGTGTAAATTGCAATATTCATTTTAACCAAAAGACTTTTCTCTCTTTCTCTCAATATAAGTGTGCAAGTTTGTGTGACTCTGTTTGATTGACGATTGACACCAAAGGTACCAAGTCAATGGCAAATGTCAACCATTGAAGAGTCACAAAAAAAAAGAGTAGAAAGAAAAACTTCTTTCATCTTTTTTTTCTTCATCTTCTTTTCTTTCCTCCTCCTCATCATCACACAAACCAATTAGCACAGTTACAGGAAAAAAAAGTTTTCTCACTCTTCATATTCGAGTAATCATTTTCCATTGAAAAGTCAATAAGAGAAGTTTGATTAGAAGCCATTTCATTCATGTCCACAGGAATCAAGATACTTGACCCTTTTACATCTTCATCATTCTTCTTGCAACATCTTTCCATGTTCGAAACTCAGTTTTCTTTGCCTTTTCTTTCAAATGCGCAAAATCTTTTCACATTATTAACCAATGTTTAAAGGTAAAGTTGAAAGTTTGGGCAACAATTGATAAAGAACAAGAAAACATTTCTTTCTTTTCCTTTCTTTTCTTTCTTTTCCCTTCATGTTCCACATTTAATTTGCCCGAGGACATTGGCCAGGTAAAAAGAGTCGTAAAAATTTGTATTTAGAGTATTTACTTGTAATCCAAATGAGAAGAATGACTGGAAATTGTCGAAATGCAAAAACCCTTTGAAAACACTTTTCTTCTTCTTCTGTTGATCCAAACAAAAGTACCTTTGATGAAAGGTTCATTGGACTTTGTTGTGCCCAAAAGTGAGCTCAGAATTGGTCAAATTTGGCTACATTCAAGTAACCTCATTCTTGACTTGCAACAACTCAATAACATTTTCACAGGTAAACGAACAATCAGGTCAAATCATTAGCTTTTCAGTTTCTTTTCAATCTTTTCATTTTCTCACAAATTTCGTTCTAATTAAACCAATCAATCTTGTAAATGAATATTCATTTGCACCGAAAAACGTGTCACAATGAATTATGAATTGAACAAATTTTCGAACACTTTTTTTTCTCTTTCTCTTCACTTGCATGACTTTGACCAAATTCAATGGTAATTAACGGTAAATTGATGGAAATATCATTAAAGGAAAAGAATCTTTCAATGTTTATTCACTGGGATTGGGATGATAATGTGATTCAACTAATTATAAATTGTGAATAAAGGTTAAACAAAAAGTGATTAAATGTATTGTTTGGCTGATTACAGGGGAAAAAAATGGACACTGAAAAGAGATGAAAGAAAAAAGTTAAAGTTTGAAACAAAAGTTGAACTTGAGCTTTTCCAGATTATTGTTGAACATTTTTGATGTAAAAATAATTATAACAATAATGGTGATGAGAAAAGTTGATAATAATTGTAACCAGAATAATGTTATTAGAAGAGAAGCATTTTTCATGGATATTAATCATTCATTATAATTACAGGGATAAAAATTTTAAATGAATAGTAAAACTGTTGGCCAGAGAGAGTAGAAGTTATCAAAAGAAGAAGAAGAAGCGAAAAGGGTTCATCTGTCATTCTTATTATTAAACATTCTCATCATCATTATTATTATCATCATTATCATCATTGTTAACGTTATAATATTTGTTGGTTTGGACATTAACAATTGAATATCTTTTCTCTGTCTTTTCTTTATTTCCTAAAATCAGAGCTTTTTCCCTTTCGACAAAAGTGTTCATCTTTATTGATTGTAAATGATATGATTAAAAGTCGCGTGACTTGATGACAGGAGAACAAATGAATCGATATGAAAAAGTCTTGGGTTCATCACATTCGATGAAACTCTTTTCCCATCGAATCTCATTGTTTAACTTGACTCGTTAACATCGTGTTTACTCCGTGTAAACCCCTCAAGGTAACAGTCTTTTGATGCAGTCTGGTAAAGCCTTTT